CTCTCTGTCTCTGTCTCTCTCTCTCTCTCTCTCTCTCTCTCTCTCTCTCTCTCTCTCTCACACACACACACACACACACAAAGACTGAGCAGATGATGAATCTGGCTCACTCAGTGAAGCCTAGAAGAGCCTGCTGCTTGCAAGAGGCATGCTGGAAATGCAGATCTTGTTGGGAATAGAGCAAAGCATTAGATATCAAATGTAATTTGAGGATTATATGAACACACAGGTAAAAACATGAGCACAACCAGAGTTTCTTGGGCAGCTGTTCAAGTCTCCTCACTACTGACAGAGGTAAGTGAAAACTAAACTAATAATAACACTGAAAAATGGGAAAACAAAACAAGTTGTCAATCCAGACTAGTATTGATAACTAGCTTGGAAGATGACAATGACTATCAATTAAGGCAGGGATTCTCTTGTGCTAAAATAAAGACACATAAATACCTCAGAAAGCCTTGTGAAATCTTAATGTAGTCATTTCTCAGTTCAGCTAAGTACACCTTGATTAAATTCTCACCTGCACTCCTGTCTCTTCTAATGGAGAAACATCATGACAAAAGTAAGTTCCTATATTACTCCTCTCTGTACCTCCTGAAGGTATATGCCCTTGGCTGAAAACTGAAAACACTATCCTAGTGTTTTGTAGAATTCCCCACCTCCCCCCACCTCTCTCTCCCCCACACTCCCTCCTTCCCTGCTACCCTCCTTCTACCACATCTCCTATACTGTGGATTGAATGTTTGAACTTAGTGCCTCTTGCAGACCATGAAAACATTCACTTTCAGCTATACCTCAAGCCCTTTTACTTAACTTTGTTTTTGAGAAGGAAGCTTGCTAAGTAGTGTAAGCTTTCCTTCAACACACTGTGGTTTAGGAAGTCCTTGAATTCCTCCTGCCTCCACCTTCAGAACAGAGGAGATTATAGGCCTGGGTCACAGGTTCTGTTCAATTATTTCCTGAAGGAGCTCACACATAAAGCCAAGAAGGAGAAGGTTATGGACAAAATAAAAGGATGCAAAATAAAGAATCAATTTTGAAATGATAAGGGCTATTTTAAACATCAGCCCTGGCTTTACTGTAAGGTTCCTTTAAAGCAGAAGACTTGCCTTGCTTTGTCTGAGAAAAGCCCCTGTCATAATACCTCAGACATTTTCCCTTGTAGTCTCATTTTGATATATGCTTAATTTATAAATCCCATAATTAAATGTTCTAGTAAGTTCACGAAATATTAAAATATGTCAAATCACATTCCCTAGAGATCCAAGAAGCATAAGGAATGTTGCTCTGCTTTAATACCAGTACAGAAAAAAGTTAAAGCAGTAACATCAACCGGGACTACAAGGTTCAAAACTCTGCTCTACTTTCCAAGTGCATGGTTAACTTTAGGCAAAATATTTAATGATTTTGTGCTTTATTTTCCTCACCTGTCAAATGGGAATGCTAATAATCACTACTGCCTGTGGTGTAAAGAAAATTAATTCAACAGAATAGGTGAGGAATCTCAACATAGTGCCTAGATCATAGCTATGAACATTATGGTAGTGATGGCAAACATAACAGCGACGGGGAAGTAACAGTGTTCTCATGTTAGCTTGAGAGCTCTGTTGTTAGTCTCTTTTTCAGTCAAGAGGAAAGAAAGGCCTACCACTGTTTCCCATTCTGGTTGGTTGCATTGACCTCCACATTTCATAGGCTGACACTGTCCCAGATTTATATACACAATTTCCACTGAGAGGAAATGCTCAGAGCATAGCAGAATGGTCTGTGAATCAAAATGATCACTTATTCTTTGCCTTTGAATCTGCTACCAACTTTGTCCAGAGACTGTGTCACTTCAGGCCTCTACAATCAAAGCATCTCCTTCTAACATCCTGCTAGTCTGTAACCTCCTTGACTGACAGAATGACAATCAAGAATTACATTGAATACTATCATGTGTTTTTGCAATGGACAAACAGTGCTTCATTTTAACCCCTTCTGGCAATACCACTGTCAGCACTTTTAGATATGGAGTTCGGCTGCCAGCCACAATGCGTTGCAACTATGTTTGGAGGGAAAAGCCTGTGTGTGAAAGATTATGCTGCCTTACAAAGTTGAACTAATCTCTTTTAATGCTTTACTTGATATCAATATTCATAAAGCCATGCTTCCCCTGAAGGGTTTATCAATCTCTTTTTAAAAATTAGATAAATGGAGTTGTTTGCATATTGACCCTGTAAGCTTTCCCACTTGGTTTCCCTGCTGCTTCATGAATATCAAAGCCAACACACACACACACACACACACACACACACACACACACACACACACACACACGAGAGGAAAATAAAATTATACTCACTTATTCATATGTATCAAATGAATCCGTGTGTCAAAACAGAAGTGGCATTATTATTCCTTGTTTATTCTTCAACAGGAAGGCATTATTAAATTAGTGAAAATGTTTGTGCTTTGTGATATGAACGGCATTTATTTTCTATTTCTACTTCTGTGAATGCATAGGAATTTTGGTACAAACCTCTGTTGTCTCTGACTGTGAAATTTGGGTTGTGAATGATTTCAGGGGGTAGACTGAAGATAAATCGTGGTCCATTGGCTGTGTCATCCTGGTCATCTGCACTTACTGTAACTATTGGCTGAAAGAGAAGGGTGGCTCGTAAGTAAATCATGATGATGATGATACCAGCATATCATTTATCTAGAATGTCCTAACAGGGTAGAAATTCTGATCTTAAAATCTCTTAAAAGGAGTTCTAAGACATGAAAAATTTTTAGACAGCGGGAGGTAACTCGAGTTGATGATTTACAAAAACAAACAAACAAACAAACCCTCTTTCAAATACATTGCTTATATGGCCAGGACAGGAAAAGCCACCCTTACCTGGTTGGAGAGTGGCTTGGTCTGATCACTCTCACAGATAAAGCCTTCATAAGGGGCAGCAAACTTAGGAGCATTGTCATTGACATCAAGGATTCTGATGGCCACTGGGACTTTGGCTTCCTGATGTCTGTTGTCTGGGAAAAGAGAATTCAGAAAGTAAACACATACCAAGTAAGAGCATATAATGGTCCATGCTAATTCTCAGAGTGGGCAAACATCTTCCACTTACATATGCAGTTCTAAGAAATGAATAACTATGGTTTGACTAAGAAATGTCTAGACACATTCATATATTTAGGAGTTGGTTTCCAGTTCAAGGGCTTTGGGAAGAGATTTGATACAAAGGCTCTCATGTAATTAAGTATCTGTTGATGGTTTTGTAGTAGTGTGTTATTATAGGGAAAATAATGAAAAGCAGAGAGTAGAGTCAAGTTAAAGGAATGATATCACTGGGGCGTGCTTCATGTCTACCAATGCATGAGCATATCAGCTCTGTAGCATTTTGCCCAAAACAATGCTCTGCTTCCTTATAGGCTGGTAGAGATGAAGCAAGGGAACCCTGGGATGAAATTCTGAATCTGTGGGCACAAATAAATTGCTCTTCCCTTTAAGTTACTTCCATTTAAGTACTTCCCTTTAAGAGTACTTCTTTTATAACTGGGGAGAAAAAAACCTAACACATGTGTTGTTGGCACAAAAGCTTTCTCAGCACTGAAGTGTGTGAAATTCTGTAGAAGGATTCCTGGAATAAATGTCATGCATAAACCAGGAAATACCGAACCATTTTCCTACACTGGCTGATAATAATTCTAAAGGTTGCTAACTGAACCCAGTCCTTCTAGAAAGTACTTTATCATCATGATTTTCCAATGAATCCCCTAGCAGCATCAGATGCATTTGGTCATTTGTTGCTCATAAAAATTAAGTTATTGGACTCTAGGGAATATCTATTGAATCTGGGGCTCTAAAGATGGGTCTAAAAACCTTTGTTATGATATGCATGTGAAATGTGTTGAGAGAGCTTGATATATGATCAACTTCAAGAATTACTGGTTCATATCTATGCAAAATGCCTCAAGTTTAATATGATGATCATAAGTTTTAAACTTCTGAAAGATATAAGCCATCTGTGATGGCTTTTCTTGGTTGTCAAGTTGACTACATCTGGAATTAAGTAAAACCCAAATGACTAGGCACACTTGTGAGGGATTTTTTCTTAATTAGATCATGTGAAGTGGGAAGACACAGGGCTGAACTGGATCTTGGAGGTGGAAATATAAACCTTTAATCCAGATCTTCGGAGTGGAAAGATCCAACTTTAATTTGGACACACATTTTGTTAGTGGCATTAAAAAAAACATGAAAGAAGAAAGCTCTCTCTCTTTGCCTGCTTGCTATCAACCTTACTTGCAAGGTCAATCCTTCACTGACATTAGAGCCTACTTCTTCAGGAATTCAGTACATTTGGAAGACCAAATGAAGCATCCAGCCTGGTGGACCACACAACTACTGGATTCTTGAGAACCCTGACTAATAAGCCATCTTTCTGAGTGTGCACACAAATCTTCCAAAGAAAATGAAATAATTTCCATTTGGCTGATTTCTTTCTATCATGCACAACTACAAAGAAAATTTAAAGACCAACCAATAATTATAATAATAACCCCAAGGACCTGGGGTAAAACCAAACACTAAAAATAAGTAAATAATAAAATGTAACCACAAAATGACTCCTAATGACATTCTGCTATAATCCTAGATCAGTGTCTTGCTTAACCATCATCAGAGAAACTTCCTCCTGCAGCAGATGGGAACAAACACAGAAACCCATAGTCAGGCCATATGCAGAGAGTGACAGCTTGGAATTCCTATCCATAAAAGGGATATCTGCATCAAATATCTCCCCTCAGGGCTCATGGAATTCTGCAGAAGAAGAGGCATAAAGAATGTAAGAACAAAAGGGATTGGAAGAAACCAAGAAAAAAAGGCCCTCTAAATCAACCTGAAAGTTCCTATGAACTCTTAAAGACTGACACAGCATGTGTAAGGCTTGCAAGGCTCTGAATTAGGTCTGCACCACAGAGATTTGATTAGGGCCTCCAGTTTGATGAGTTTATGAGATTCCTGAGCAAGTGGGTATCTGATATGTATGCCTTATCTGGGACTCTTTTTCTTCTCTTGGTTTGTTTTGTCCAATTCAAATGTGTTATATTTTATCTTACTATATTTTATTTTATCATTATCCCTTAGGGGAAGCCCATTTGTTTTTTAATGAGAGACAGTAAGGGAGTGGATCCCAATGGGAGGGTAGGTGGAGAGGAACTGAGAACAGTAGAAGGAGGGGAAACATAATAACGATATATTATATGAGGGAAAAAATCTATTTTCAATAAAAGGAATGAAAAAATCTAAAACAAAACAAAACAAAAACTCATCTCATCAATTTTATTCTACAGACTAGAGTCACAGGAATTAATATTTAGCAAAGTCAAATCAAAGCCCTTAGGAGAATACTTACGGATTTCTGCTGCAAAGACAGAGATGTTGAGCCAGGCAGTTTCCTCTCTATCTAGAGGTTTCGTGGTTTTAATAAAACCATCCTCTGGATTAATTGTGAAAAACCTGTCGAGGTCAGTATGACGATCAATTGAATACCTAAGCAGAATGCAAATGAGGCAATTAGACCAAGACATTCAAAGCAGCTTAATATTTGAATATTTTCTCCATGCTATATTTAATGCAACTTTTTTTTTTTTTTTACCAATTGATCTCATGACTTAGGTTTTCTTTTTAATCAAATTTAGTTTTCAAAATTTACACATGAATATTTTATAGAAATCATTTTGGTACATTGGACTTCTTTATTCATACAATGAATGAAAATGCTGTTTAGCATATTTGATTGAGAAGTATAATAATGTGTTGCATATTTCTCCATATTTACTATAATCACGAACCATCTGAATATTTATGAAACTGCATTTGGGGAGTAAAATTGTCTCACTCCCAAACTACTCAGAAAGTCACAAATGTATCAAACCTTTGCCAAATTTTGAGATATGAAATATTAAATAGTTTCAAGTTTATTTAAATTCATCATCAAATATCATTTATAGCTCTAAACACCAGAATTTTCCATATTTAAAGAAAAGTGCTTGCTGTATTTTGCATGTTTTTTTTTGTTTTGCTAGTTATAGAGACCTATAGATAAATTTGGTTCTAAATTTCAAGGTGCAAACACAAACAAGGCTGATCCAATTACTTGTAGGTCAAAATCTCAATACCTTACTGAGTGTTCTGTGCTTTATAGTAAAGTACAAAGGTTTTATCAAGTCCTACTCACTCAGAATTTGTCTCTTTCAAACAAACACAAAAAGATTCTCAGATTATTATGAAGATGCATTTACTGTAATGTCAGGTGGGAGATGGGAAAAGAAACTTGTCTGTGATTGAGGTGAAGTAAAATATGTTAGTCAGTCTTGGCACATACTAGCAACTTAGTTTTAATAGGTCTGCTAAGCTTGAAAGTTCCCACTAATTCATTTAATCACACCAAGCCCAAAATGGAGAAGAACAAAGAATTTTGTTCACACAGACAGCATGCTGGACCTCAAAAGTGGGTAGTATCCCTCCCCTGATAAAGAGATTGATGACTGTCTTATATGCCATCCTATAGCCTTCATCCAGCAGCTAGTGGAAGTAGAAGCAGACATCCACAAGTAATCACTGAACTGAACTGGAATCCAATTGCAGAGAAGAATGAGTGATCAGGAAAGGGGTAAAGACCAGGCTGGTGAAACCCACAGAAACACCTGACCTGAACAATAAGGAGCTCTTGGTCCCCAGACTGATATCTGGGATACCAGCATGGGACTAATCCAGAACCAGGAATGTGGGTTTCAGTGAGGAGACCTCTGAAATCTACTGGACCACCTGTAGTAGTTAAGCTATCCCTAGCATAGGTGTGGATTTTGGGAACCCAATCCACATACATGGATACTCCCTGAGACAAGATACACACAGGGGTGGGCCTAGGCCCTATCCCAAAGGATATGATAGATTCTGATCACCCCTATGTAAGGCCTCACCCACCCTGGGGAGCAGAAAGGATATGTGATAGGTAGAGTATTAGTTGGGGGGGGCAGGGGAGGATGGGAGGGAGTGGGAACTGAGATTGACATGTAAAATAATCTTGTTTCTAATTGAAATAAAAAATAAAGAAAAAAGTGGGTAGTTTTCAGTTCTTAGAAGTTTTGTGCATGTTTTCCTAAATGCATAAAATATGTGTGTTTTGAAGCATTAGTGATCGTTAAATGTATAAGAACACCTGAAGAAGCAAGGATTCTGGATACCAAAGAGCCTACTCTCCTAAATTTATGCAGAAATGGCTTGGAAAATGGTATGTGTCTAGTTTCTGAGGAACCAGTGTTGTAGACCAGATTTTCTAATTTCAGATCTTTCACATCCTTTCCAGGAAAGACAGTCACTCATGGAGCAATACTTTACAGTATTCAAAACATGACACCATTCATGATGGACTTTGAATCTACATCTCCTTATGAGGAATGAAGAGTTTTGATTTCTCCTGGGTATGAACTTCAACTTAGTCTTGCATTTCATCAAAGCTAGCAAAATCTCTGTAGCTGAGTCCTCAGCAAATAGTTCTATGTACAACAACAGACTTGTTTTTTTTTTTTAACATAAGGGAGCTTCCTACTTAAGTAACATGACAGTGCATATACAATAATAAAACTGATATGGCAAGACATAATTCCAAAGATAGCAAATGGTCTATGAATGTGGATTTTGCAAACTCTTAACTCCAGTCATGCCCCACTGCACATAATCTGAATAATATAATTTTGAAAAAGTAACTTAAAATTGCTTAACTTCAGCATATTTATCTTTACACCAGAAGAGCAATTATAGCTAACTTTATATTCTATGTGAGAATGAAGTGAAGCATCCTCAAACCTCACCCACATTAAGCAATGCAACCCAGAGGAGCTGTTATTTTAGTTTTTGCCTCTGCTCCTGTTGTGTTGAGGAGAAAATATGAAAGCTCTTGAATGTCAGAGAGTAACCTCCATCCTGTAGCCAAAGAGAAACCATGAAGACCTTTCAGCAAAGAAGCAAATAAATGAAATTAGAACAACTGAGTAATCATTGAGGTAGTGTAGAAAATATGGTCCGAAGAAAAATAGAGAGCAGAGAATATTTAGGAATTAGCTGTAGTTTTCAAAATAAGAAAAATAGCTACTGATAGGTGTGAGGGATTGAAAACTGTGTGATGAATGTAGTAGAAGTCAGTTAAGAATTAGATATCTGGGATGGCTAGGAGAATTTTCAAACTTTCTTGCCTGACTGTCTGAAAAGGAGCTATTGGAAGACTCAACATTAAGTTCATTCAGCAGAAAATAGAGGCTGAAGTCAATGATGAATATACCTCAATGTTAAGATAACAATGATTCAATTCTATGATGGGCAGAGATAAAATCCGCTGTGTGATGTGATGATTGTGGGGGGTGCATTAGTGCATATACAGATGCATGTGTGCAGGGGAAGATACTTGTATGTACATGTGCATTTAGAGGCTGAAGGAAAACCTTGATTATTGGTTTTCAAGAATTATACACCACACTTTTGGAGACAGAGTCTGTCAAAAGCCTGGGACTCTCCAAGTAAGCTAGGCTTATGGCCACAAAGACCTGAGATGCATTTGTGTCCTCTTCTTTAGCACCAGAATTATAATTGTGATCTACCATAATCATCATTTTCATGTTGGATCTTGGGATCAAACTCAGATCATCTTGGTTCCCAAGTAAGCATTTTACTAAGATGTACCTGTGCTCTTCTGTCTATTTTAAATAAGGCACACAGTAAATATGAGCTCACAGATAACTCTATTGTGTTTCTACTTAACTGAAACACACACACACACACACACACACACACACACACACACACACACACACACACTTTTCAAGTGTCTAAATGATACTATAAAGTCTTAACTACATATCAAAAATTAACAATTACCTGTAAAGATGGAGAGAATAATCAGTACATTAGATGTTAAGAAGTACATTCAGTATAAACTTGTGTGTCTACCTGTAATTTGTCTGACATTTCTAAGAACAGAAATACAAGTGGATAGGACTGGGACTTGACGCTACTTGGCTATTGAGAATCTGTGGGTAATGATAGTCTTGGAAATTGCCTCTATGCACAGAACAGCTACTACTGAAAACATGACCCAAATAAATGGATTGCAGATTTGGATTCCTGGAAACAATAAAGTTCAGGGAAAATAAGCAGTTGTTCCATGTGTCTTCATATTGTTGTTCCTCTAAAAGTTTCCCAAAACACCTTTATATTGTAGGTCAAAAGTTAGTTGTATTAATTCAGAAGTATGCGCATTGTGAAACAGTTAGAGGCACAAGGGTCTCCTGCCATTACATAAGAAGCTTCTTTTACCAAAAGAAAAGAATAGTCAGATATTTCTGAAGAATCATTTCTGTCACCAGTTGCCTATATCTAAGAGAGCAGATTGAAGCTAAAATAGAATCTGGATTAAAATTTGGACACCAAACTGGTCTTGTGAATTTAAGCAAGTCATATTATCCTCCTGTGCATAATATTCCCATCAACTGACTCCTGAAGCAGTCACAGTCTCAATAATTCAGAAAAACTGCCTTAAACATATTGTTCTGGCTAGGCATTGGCAGTGCACGCCTTTAATCCCAGCACTCAGGAGGCAGAGACAGGCAGATCTCTGTGAGTGTGAGGCCAGTCTGTTCTACAGAGCAACTTCCACAACAAGCCCCAAAACCCTGTCTAGAAAAACCAAAAGAACAAACAAATAATCATAAAATAAACATATTGTTCTGATTCTAAGAAAATGTTCAAAATTTTATCTCTCATCAGTATGAACAATATTCTAAAATGCAATAAATAATCTTCTATCCTGCCGTGTTTTTGTTTTTTTTCATTTTTGTACATGGGGTAAAAGAAATCTCATGTGTCCCAGAATGGACCCAAATTTAATATGTAGCCAAGGATGACCTTGGAATCTGATCCTTCAGCTGCCACCTCTGGAGCTCTGGCAATGGAATTACAGATCCACACTTCTATATCCCATTTATGCTCACCTTTCAGCTCAAACCCAGGGCCTCAGGTATGGTAGGTACCAATTCTACTTACTGAGCTACACGCTGAGTCCCAATTTTCTTTTATGGATTGCATATATTCCATGGACTATTTCAAATTTCTTCATATTTATATCCCCATATTACTAGGGATCTTTTCTGCTGCTACAGCTTTTCAGATAATTGGTTTTATTTTTACATAAGAATTGTAAATATGAATGGTTTGATGGTGCTTCAGTAAATGTTTACATTGTGCAATTTTCAAATCCAAGCCATTAGCATTTGATCATCTTAAACATCATATCTTTCATTACAAATATTCAAATGCTTTTCAAAGTATTCAGATTATTTATGTTAGTGATGTTCATATTACTGTGCACCAAGACACTAGAGTTTATTCTATCCAACTGTAATGCTAAGGCTATTTACCAAACTCTCCTCATGTTCTGGCCTTTCAGTCTGCACAGTATCTCTAATCACTACTCCATAAAAATGTGACTGAATTACAGATTCTACATATGTATGAGAGATAATGTATTATTTGCTATCCTTTACTTTGGTTGGTTGGTTAGTTGGTTGTTTTTTCCCTGATTTATTTCACTGAAGGTAATGTCTCCTTGGTTTACCTTTATTCCTGAAAATGAAAGTGATAGAATTTCATGATTTCTTTTATTGCTGAAAAGTTATTTACTATTATTATGCAACATATTTTCTTTATCCATTTATCTGTGGACAGGCATTTAGGTTGGAACTGTATCTTGACTAATGTGAACAGTGCTGCAATAAGCAGGGAAGTGCAAATATCTCTTCAACTTACAGATTTTATTTCTTTTGTATAGATATACATTAGTAATAGTGCCTAGCCATATGGTATTTCTACTCTTGATTTTTGAAATTCAAGTACTATTTTATATTATGGATATATAAACCTACTATCTTATTGACAGTGAATAAGTCTTTCCCTTTCTTTATTTCTTTGCTAATATTTTCCTCTTTTGCTTTTGTTGTCTGGCTGAGAATGGTCATTATAACTGTGGCAAGAGGGAAATTTAAATTGACATTTACATTTTATTGGCTATTTTTAATACCAATCATGTTCATAATGGCCACCCATCGTGTTTTAAATTCAAGATTTCTCCCTAACATGAAGTTCACCAAGTAGGCCAGGTAGGCTTGAGAGTGAGTTGTAGAGATATTTTTCCAAATCTCTGCCTCTCTAGTGTTGAGGATTATAAACATATTCTACCACACCCATCACAATG